GGATAATTTAAATTTGCGTTTGTATTTCAATGATTTTAGACTATTTAAATTTGCATTTTCGGATTTATATACAAAATTTGTAAAACATATTTTTAGAATATTTTATTTTAAAAAAAATTCAACCAGAACGCCGCTAAACCGATGCAATATATCTCAAATTTAGCGTCGGCTTAGCGTCGAAAGACGACGTGATTCGACGCTAAATCATCGCTAAATGTGCGATGATTTAGCGTCGAATTATTGCATCAGTTCAGTATAGACGCTAAATCGACGCTATATATTCGACGCAAAAATTGCATCGAATTTGCGTCGAATAAGATTTAGCGTCGACGATTTAGCGTCGAAATGAATTTTGACGCTAAAACGACGCTAAGACCCTTTAGCGTCGAATTTTGCCGACGCTAAAACTGTGTTTTCTTGTAGTGGTTGCAGCACGATAGATACTAACACACACACACACACTCTACCGTGGCGCTGTTGAGGCATCACCGAACCATATCAGGCCTTCTCGAGACGCGGGACGATGTCTATCGAGTCGCGGTACGATACCATGTTTGTCCAGCACGATCTCTTATCGTGGGACGACACGGTTGTTTCATGTGGTGCGGCTCGCTGCCTTATCGTAACGTGGCACGTTCCACTTTGTGACATGCTATCTCGTGTTAGTGTCCTGTCAAGGCGTCATCGAGGCACCCCGAGGCCATGCCGATGCCCTATCAAGGCGTCATTGTAGTCCGGATTGAGACACTCATCGAGGTATCCCAAGGCAATGCCGATCCTCTTCTTCTCGTGCCCGTATCACAGCCCCTCGCCGTCCACGAGACTCTTCTCGTGCTCGTCCGCACTCGAGTGGAGCTTGGCCACTGCCCTACACTCGTCGAGCCTCACATACGAATCCTTATCTGGATCGAGTTACCTCGACCACAAGTCTAGTTTATGACCCCATACTACTAAAACACCCTATGAAAACAAAAGTAATAAATGACAAGAAATGAGGATTAGGTACGGATCGCGTTTTACCTCAATCGTGAACCTTCTCTACCGGCAGGCTGGGTGCTGAGTTCCTTCTCAAGCTCCTCCGATTATTCCTTCCTAAGCGTTTATCTTTGGCTCTGGAAGAGAATAATGATTTTGGTGTGTAAAATATGAGCTCCCTAGCTCCCTATTTATATCCCACAAAATTCTCCTAGAGAATATTCACTTTCTTTATATTTCTCCACGTCCTTTCTACATGGGCCAAGCCCGTTTTCCTTTTAACCCTTCCCCACGTTTTCGCCCTCCCCTAATGGCCCGACATTAGGGTTTCCCCCTTCACGTGGGCGGCCAGAGTTTAGGGTTTCCGTCCCCTAATTATCATGGGCGTTCCACTTACCATCTCACGAGCCAGTCCATAGGTTTCTTTTCCTTAATAGACCTCCGTTTTCCTTTTAGACCATTTTCTCGCCGTCCCACCTCCTACCAGATTATTCTAAGTTACTTAAATTCCCATACATGAGTTCGGGATGTTACACCATGTTTGCTCCGTATATATCGGAAGGCACAATGAATTTGTGGAGAAACAAGGTGGTCCAAGGAATCAAGATGGTTTGTTAACCCATAGGTATGTTTGAAGACTTGAGAGGAGTATTTGACGCTCGACATATGAACTTGATGACGATGACGATGTTAACATTAGCATGTGGGTTGAAAGCCACCAAATTCACGTGTTTTTCTTCGACGCAGACCCCTTTCCTTGGGTATCCAAACTGAGTGGCAGTTGCAACAGATGATTCGATTTGGCAAATGTGGACTCTTTGCTTCAGATTCAAGGTTTGGGACAAATAAACTCAAGGTTAGTTTTTCACAGTTCGTAATATTTGTTTTAACATTACCGCGATGATTGTAACGTCTATGTATTGTGTTTATTTTTAGTATCCTATCCATAGTCTTGTTGTATTCGACTCTGAGAATAAGGTTATTCCAGTTGCTTGGGTAATTGCCCCGCGGTTTTCCCGTGGAGATGCATATTGGTGGATGAGAGCTCTTTGTAACTGAGTCCATGCCAAAGATCTCTCATGGAAGGTGGTTAGGTTCATTGTCGATGATCCCTTTGCATCCTCATTGCAAGTATCTTAGTGAGTTTCTTAGCAATAAACATATAAAAAATACTAAAAAGGTGGAGAAAAAATGAAAGTGGGCTTATTGTTAAATAATCAGTTCTCATGGGGGTAAAGAAATCCATTTGCTAATTGTTGTTGTTTGATTGGTTGAATATTGTTTTT